ATTAACCTACTACTAAAACTAGCCTACATGAATTTGATTTTTGCCTCACTTGTGACAGTTCGTTTGATATGAAACTATCATTCTATGCGTTATTATTATTATTCTAAGTATATATATATTTATATATATTTAATTAGAACCAAAATTGAATTTTAAATCAAGACGTAGACGATTTAAATGGGACCATTTCTGAGGTACTCTTTTTCCAACAAAAAAAGAATCATCAACATCGGTTCACAAATGGCGGAGTTATCTCGCGTAACATACGTACAAAAAAAACATACAGACAAATTGAGAACTTCCTCCTTTTTTTGAAGTGGATTAAAAACAGTCGTTAAAACATAAAACATGAATGAAGCCCCCCTGAAAAACTATACTTTTGCGCCTTCTACAAAACAAAGACATTCTTTTTTTGTACCATTCATTCTGACACCGTGTTGACTTTGTTTCTGAATTATATCTTTTTTACCGGCTCACCTTAGGACCAAGCAGAACCATCAGCGTCGTTGTTCGACTGAACTGCATAATGCTAAGTCGGGCCGTTTTAGCTGACAGGGTACACCTAACTCTGCACCCGACAGAATATAACTCTCCAGACTATACCTGCAAACCTGACTAGCCTTTTTGTTTACCATTGTACCTGTGTCATATACTTGTTTGTAATGTACTATGATTCAGCCAATAAACGAGTTATCTATCTATCTAACTAAAATACGCCTAACAAAGGACACTTTCTCTTGTTGTGCTGTTTTCCAAAGCCGAGTGGCATCGAAAAATAGCACTCATTATGAAATCCACTTAGCAATCTCATTCGGGTTCATTGAATTGTCTCCCTGATTTACTATATACCGCTACCCGCTCTGCTGCATGGTCCGCTATATCTTGTATACTTGTCACGGCACATCAAGTATGCGCTAAAGGAATGCGGGAGCGGCGACACCTCTGCCCGCGTCTATTTCATTGTTTGCTGGTGCTACACTACTCGATATCTAACCCGCTACCCGCTCTGCTGCACTCTCCGCTGCCGCTCTAGTCTTGTACACTTGTCGCGGCACATCAAGTATGCACTGAGAGAATGCGGGAACGGCGACACCTCTGCCCGCGTTCATTTCATTGTCTACTGACACTACACTACTCGCTGTGACGCTATGTTCTTCTGAATTTTGTATCTTGTTAGTCGACGGCGCTTTCGTAAATAATGTAACCGGTAGAGGACTTACACTATCATGTTTGGGATAATCTTACGTTACCAACAACAATAATATTAAATAATTACTTACAAAGTTAAAACAGTTACTAAATTATGTCTAAACAAATGAAACATGTTCGTATTGCGGTAGCTGTTAATTGGAGCGCCCAAATGAACTTCTAGGTTCCGAATGGTCGTTTTCCATATATTTAATGGAAATATCTCAAGCGATGTTACAGTCGCTAATGTTATTTTATACACAGGTGGAATAAGAGGAATATACTTTTCACCTCACTAACTCGGAAAGGTTTTCTTTCTCATTAGAAATCAACGCGCAAAAGCGTTTTTCCCACGCTATCGTGGAATTGGTTTTTAGAATTTGAACATGACGATGTACTGTGGTGCACCTAACTTTTCCTTTCGATGAAAAAAAAAACATAATGTCACGTTCATCTACGCGATTTGTCGTACATTATTTATGTAATATAAATCCGTTGATATATTTCATTCTTATTATTGTTGACATTAAATTGACAACACATTTGTTTATTAACTGATTTGTTATAAGTTCAACTGTTTTTCTTTTATCTACCACTTTTCTCGCTATAATGAGGTGAAAAGTTGTGTGTTTCGCTCGGCAGCAAAGTTGTTTTGCGTCTCGTGGCTTGAAACATCTATGGTTGAAACCATAGATATTTTTCTATATCTATGCTTTAAACCTTCAGGTTTCAATACAAGCACTTGCGTCAAACAACAAATTTACAGCCATTATTTTGAGTCAAAATATTTTCAGCTCTAAGAAGAACAGATAAAGTCTTATAAGAATTTTGAAGTACACTAACTTGCCTTTGTTTACCTGCTTTACATGTTTAAACAATCATTACGCGAAATTCAATACTTACGATGTATTTGCCGGAAACGTGCAAATTGTGCTAACGTTTCTCTTTCCCAAAACGATGGGGTAAGCGGTACAGTCATCGTATTTCTTATTAGCTCAATGTATAGTGTATACCTCGTGTTCTCAACATTTCACAGCTGTCAAATATGTTTTTTCTGCCTTTTTTTATTTGGAGCATCGCAGCGACATCTCTTTAAAATCGTTTAAACTAATTTGTGTCTGTTTTGTCGACTGAGAGACTATAGTGCTTAACTCTTTAGATTATGAGTTAAGGCTTCAAGTTCCTCTTCCAGGTTCTAAACAGACTATTTGCATAAATATGGTATTTTAAGTTTTACGCATAATAAATCATTTTAAAACAGCTGCAAATTTCATACAACAATTACGATTAGATAACGCCACTGAAGGTAGTATAAAATATATTTTATTTGTATTTAGCTATTGTGCTTCCATCGGAAATAAATCTATTTTTAGAATTTAAAATCGCGTATATTCATTTTTTCAAATTAACCAACGTTACGGTTTCTTTACAAATGTCATGATCACATCTTTTGCGAGTTTTTTGCGGTTCATTTGGAAAAAAATGTACGCAAATTTAGATCCGCAATTAATAGTTTCTTTTTCAATGTGTAGCAATTGCATTAACCTAAGAATTCGATGTATATGTATAGACTAGACGTAG